TGGAATGGTCTTCCGAAGTTACGTTGATTGGTATATATCTGACACATGTCAATCAATCTCACAAATTTTTACATTGTATCAATTGAGGTGACCATGTGCCCAGAAAGATGCCAATTTGGCGTATTTGGCAGGATTTTAAGAATCAGATTTAAGAAAGGTCAAGGGACCAAAAGATGACTAAATATGTTTATGGCGATGAATTTAACCAATTTCTGGATAGGATTAGATGTGTAGAAAATAGAGGTGCAAGGAAAGTGCTGAAAACCTTTTTGTAACAAGTGGAATGGGAAAAAGATTAACTTTTTGACGTATTTCTGAGGTCATATCCTTGTCATTTTGACACAAAAAAAGCTACTAAAGGAGGACACGTTGACTACAAAAGACATCATAAAGATATAGGTAAATTTCATCCAAAATACTTGAGAGTTGGTGAGTTAACATAACTTTGGATGATCTTTCCAATAGTATATCACTCTAGGTACCGTCTGTTAAGGTTTTAGCTGTAGCAGGGGGGACGGGACTTATTTGACACCCTGTATTATATGTATACATACACTCCCCTCCATAAGTTTGGCAACCTTTTTCCCCCATTAAACTGCGTGTTAAAGCCTCTTTACTTTTGACTTTTTATTTACTTAACCGGCGATGAAATAACTTATAACATTGATGGAAACGTATCTTGATTATATTTCCAATACCTCCAAATTTTCTCAATTTTTTTCCTCAATTACAATAGGTCGAAAATTGATGATAAATTTGATGAATTAAGGAAAATCGTCATTCCCATGTAATCCAATGGGAAATGAAGGGTTCGGGGCAAATCAGAAATCAGGATATCTTTTCAGTAAAAGATTCAGCAAAAAATATTTGTATATAGAAAATTGAATTGTCTAACTTTTTTGAACACTAAGTGTTTAGTTTATTTGATGAATATTAAAGTTACAGCGCTTCAAAGTCATTTTTGAAAATAATTTTTCGCCTCCTGTGTTATTTCAATGGGAGAGGTTTTTTGAAAAACAATTTTGACTTTAAAGCCCTATAACTTTGTTGAACATGAAGAAACATATCAATTTCTTGTTAAATAAAGTTAGCAAATTCAATTTCCTGCCTAACTCGTATTTTTTGCAAGGACTCGGATGAATGGATATTCTGTCATATGACTTGCGGCAAACCTACCATTTCCCATTGGTTAACATGGGAATGACGATTTTCAAAAATTCATCAAATTTATCATCAATTTTCGACCTATTGTAATTGAGGAAAAAAATTGAGAAAATTTGGAGGTATTGGAATTAAAGTCAAATTACGTTTCCATCAATAGTATAAGTATTTTCATCGCAGGTTAAGTAAATAAAAATTCAAAGGTAAAGAGGCTTTAACACGTAGTTCAATGGGGGAAAAAGGTTGCCAAACTTATAGAGGGGAGTGTATGTCAGCTAATAAGCAGAAACTGTGCCGGGTATATGCTATCTTACATTTCGTAACACATTTTGTATATAATATAAATTGTTGCCGATTGATTGTTCGCCATATAGCTTCTGGGTGCCACTTGGGGCCAGTTTGGGCTGCTGTATAGCTTCTGGGTGCCATTGGGGGGGGGGGGCTTGTTTAGCTTGATAGCCATCAAGTGGTAGACAGTATATGTAACTGGGAGAATCCCTATTAGAATAAACATTCACTTTATTGAATTATAGATGTCACTTAGGAAATAGCATATTATAAACTTATATAACCATTACCGTTTCTTATCTGAGTACCTAGATTAAAATCGTGTTGTTATTCATGGTAGAGAGTGTTCCATATGTATATATGCATCATCCTCTAAAAGTATATATGTTGCATCCTATCATGTTATATATAATTTCATTCATCATATAATGTTACATAAGATTGCAAATTGTCATTTAGGGGCAATTTCTGGTCATTTTTGCAATTTAAAGGATAAAGTTATCAAATTGTACATTTGTAGCAGTTGGCATCATGGTAGAATTCAGTCCACATGCCTGTGACAGTTATTATGTTAATGCATTATCTCAGCCAAAATGTTTTAGAAAGTGTACGGACATGGCAACACAAGTCATGCATAATCTCAGCTAAAATGTTTAAAAGTATGTTACTGACTCGGCAACACAAGTCATGCATTATCTCGGCTAACATTTTTAAAAGGATGTTAATGACATGGCAACACAAGTCATGCATTATCTCAGCTAAAATGTTTAAGATAATGTTAATGACATGGAAACAGAAGGCATGCATTATCTCAGCTAAATGTTTAAGAGAATGTTAATGACATGGCAACAGAAGTCATGCATTATCTCAACTAAAATGTTCACGAGATGTTAATGACATGGCAACAGAAGGCTTGCATTATCTCAGCTAAAATGTTTAAGAGAGTGTTAATGACATGGCAACATAAGTCATGGATTATCTCAACTAAAATGTTCACGAGATGCTAATGATATAGCAACAGAAGGCAGAATTTTAATGACATGGCAAAAAAAGTCATACATTATCTCAGCTTAAATGTTTAAGAGGATGTTAATGACATTGCAACAGAAGGCATGCATTATCTCAGCTAATATGTTTAAGAGAATGTTAATGACATGGCAACAGAAGTCATGCATTATCTCAGCTAAAATGTTTAAGAAGATGTTAATGACATGGCAAAAGAAGTCATGCATTATCTCAGCTAAATGTTTAAGAGGATGTTAATGACATGGCAACAGAAGTCATGCATTATCTCAGCCAAAATGTTTAAGAGGATGTTTCTGAAATGCCAACATAAGTCATGCATTATCGCAACTAAAATGTTTAAGAGGATGTTAATGACATGGCAACAGAAGTCATGCATTATCTTAGAAAAAATCTGGAAGAGGATATTATTTACATGGCAACAGAAGTCATGCATTATCTCAACTTAAATGTTTAAGAAGATGTTAATGACATGGCAAAAGAAGTTATGCATTATAGCAACTAAAATGTTTAAGAGGATATTAATAACATGGCAACAGAAGTCATGCATTATCTCAGCTAAAATGTTGAAGAGGATGTTAATGACATGGCAACAGAAGTCATGCATTATCTCAGCTAAAATGTTTAAGAAGATGTTAATGACATGGCAAAAGAAGGCATGCATTATGTCAGCTCAAATGTTTAAGAGAATGTTAATTACATGGCAACAGAAGTCATGCATTATCTCAGCTAAATGTTAAGAGGATGTTAATGACATGGCTACATAAGTCATGCATTATCTCAGCTAAAATGTTTAAGAGAATTTTAATGACAGAACAACAGAAGTCATGCATTATCTCAGCTAAAATGTTAAAGAGGATGTTCATGACATGGCAACAGAAGTCATGCATTATCTCAGCTAAAATGTTTAAGAAGATGTTAATGACATGGCAAAAGAAGCCATGCATTATCTCAGCTAAAATGTTTAAGAGAATGTAAATGACATGGCAACAGAAGTCATGCATTATCTCAACTGAAATGTTTAAGAGGATGTTCATGACATGGCAACAAAAGTCATGCAATATCTAAGCTAAAATGTTTAAGAGGATGTTAATGACATGGCAACAGAAGTTATGCATTATCTCAGCTAAAATGTTTAAGAAGATGTTAATGACATGGCAAAAGAAGCCATGCATTATCTCAGCTAAAATGTTTAAGAGAATGTAAATGACATGGCAACAGAAGTCATGCATTATCTCAACTGAAATGTTTAAGAGGATGTTCATGACATGGCAACAAAAGTCATGCAATATCTAAGCTAAAATGTTTAAGAGAATGTTAAGGACATGGCAACAGAAGGCATGCATTATCTCAGCTAAAATGTTTAAGAGGATGTTAATGACATGGCAACAGAAGTCATGCATTATCTCGGCTCAAATGTTTAAGAGAATGTTAATGACATGACAACAGAAGTCATGCATTTTCTCGGTTAAAATGTCTAAGAGGATGTTAATGGCATTGCAACACAAGTCATGCATAAACTCAGCTAATATTTTGTAGAGCGTGTATATGAAACGCCGTGCATTAATTTAGCTTTACTGTTCTGGCAGATCTAGAAGCCAACAAGCGGAGCCCATATTCTAAATCAGGAAAAATCATTTTCGGCCCCTAAAACCAAAAATTTGGCCCAAATTTTAAAAATTGCTGTTCAAAAAGTGTTTTGAGAATGGTAACACAATGCAAGTTCTACAAAAATGTTTTAAAGTTTGACTTGAACTTCTTTGGCGGAGAAAGTGTGGTACCTGCTAAACACGTAAACACAATAAAGCCCCTAATAAAACTGATAGGAAACTCATCAAAGATCCAGGACTACCAGCACAGGCGCTTTTTTTGTTTGCCCTTTTAAATAATTGATCGCTATATTTCTTATGTTCATATTTCTCATTTTGTTTGGAGGGAGTTAGGTCTAATCTAATCGAGGCGTGTTAATATCAGATTTCGTTTAATTATACTTTAAATAACATGGATATGATAGTATTTTACGGGCTTTTGTTACTAAATCTAACACGGATCTTCTTATAGTGCACTAAGATACTCAAGACGTCGCAATAATTCGGTTGTTTTAATAAATGAAGAATTTGAGCTGAGGCGCTGGAATGAATTGTTTTTGTGCAGAAAGATATGTCACTTTAGCTAATAAGTGCTAAGGCAAAAATACTGAATTTACGAATTCGAGAAGAGTGAGCGAATATAGAGTTAGTCTATATTAAGATATCTTAGCATAGACAGTAAGGGCGTAAGTCATGAGAACATTTTGGGGTTATATAGTCTGCCTATTTACATGGATTTCTTTATCTAAATCTCAACAACGATGCGTCCTTGGCTGGAATTTTACAAGTTTTCTAACAGAACCGAAGTTCAGTTTACAGGAAGTGAAGAGTTCCTCCTAATTCTCTTAATCTCTGACTAACTTGCGGTCGTGTTAATAGTAAGGGAACATACAATTCCGGCTCGCAACTGGCACTGGTTCTCATTATCTCATAAAATGCAACTAGCAAATTATAGAAATAACACACTACTGTATTGCGTTGATCCAAATCCGAGTTGAAGATCAGACTTGCCGCGAGGGAATGCGAACCAGGGATACTGGCAAAAAAGCGGATGTATTAGATCAGATATTGGAGGCGTTTAGGGATTTACAATGAATGTACAGAACGAATATATTAATATTCCGTAAATGGCGAAATTACGGGCATATATAAAAGCTGATGTTGAAAAACATGCACAAAAACGATTGCGAGTTTCCTTGGATTGTTCTACTGAAAATTAGTAGACCTTTTGCCTTGTAGTCTGATATTGGATTTCTCCATGTTTCTTAAATCTACTTTTGGATAGACTTAGCTTGCAAATGATAGTTTCATGAGGATTCAGGATTCACGACGTAGATCACTGTGAAGTAGTTGGGGAGTTAACACTTGTAAAGATAGCATCAAGTTATTTTTGCGGAACATATACGTCATTGTCCAGTTTTATTTCATGTTCAACTGCAGCGATGTGATATTGCAAGATATTCTATATTGCGTTGATGGAAAAGAAAAATAACGTGCCACTTATCAAAAGATGATGTAAACGCTGTATAAATTGGTGTAAACAAACCAATTACTGGGGTAACATTAAAGTGCATGAACTTTGAAAACAGAATGTAGTTGAACAGCATTGAGAATATCTGATTGTTGTACCATGCATGTATAATAACGTGGAGTGAACAATATGGATACACAAATAGTCGAGCAGAGCCAAACGGTCCTAGAGCCGATAGACACTAGAGTCCCGAGGGATGTTCAGTTAAGGAATCACCATATCGACCCTAAGGTTTATAAAGAGGTGCTCAGGAGACGTAGGAAGGAACAAGCCTGGGACTGCTGCAAGAAATTCACATCATTCTTATTTTCTCATATCGGGCTATGCGGCCTTGTGGTGGTGTACACCATCATGGGGGGCTTCCTCTTTGAGGCGCTCGAGTCTCCGCATGAGATAAAGGAAAAACACAAGATGACGCAAAGTAGGAACACGTCACTGGAAGAGATTTGGAATCTAGCGCTACAGTTACGAGAGAAGAAAAATATTGAATATATAGAGGATGAAAAACGTATATTTGTCTCAAACTTAAGTGTTATCATACGTGATTTCCAGGTACTGGTATATACAGCTGCCAAGGAGGGCGGTTGGGACGGTAACGACGACAAGAGGGTCTTGCAGTGGTCCTACGCCGGAGCACTATTATACAGCATAACTGTCATAACAACAATAGGTAGGTACAACTCTAGATAACGTTTCAATAGCATACGACATGAATGTAATAACGATAATTTGTTAGCATACGACATAATTGTCATTGCGACATAAGATAAAATATCTAATAGCATATATGCCAAAATATCATAACAATAATTTGTAGGTACAACATAAGATAAAATATCCAATGGCATACGACCTAAATGTCATTACAATAATTTGTAGGTACAACATAAGATAAAATATCCAATGGCATACGGCATTACAATAATTTGTAGGTACAACATAAGATAAAATATCCAATGGCATACGGCATTACAATAATTTGTAGGTACAACATAAGATAAAATATCCAATGGCATACGGCATTACAATAATTTGTAGGTACAACATAAGATAAAATATCCAATGGCATACGGCATTACAATAATTTGTAGGTACACCATTAGATAAAATATCCAATGGCATACGGCATTACAATAATTTGTAGGTACAACATTAGATAAAATATCCAATGGCATACGGCATTACAATAATTTGTAGGTACAACATAAGATAAAATATCCAATGGCATACGGCATAAATGTCTAAGATGAAAATATCCAATGGCATACGGCAATAAATATCATTACAATAATTTGTAGGTACAACGTTAGATAAAATATCCAATGACATACGGCATAAATGTCTAAGATAAAATATCCAAAGGCATACGACATAAATGTCATTACAATAATTTGTAAGTACAACATTATATAGAATATCCAATGACATACGGCATAAATGTCTAAGATAAAATATCCAATGGCATACGACCTAAATGTCATTACAATAATTTGTAGGTACAACATTAGATAAAATATCCAATGACATACGGCATAAATGTCTAAGATAAAATATCCAATGACATACGACATAAATGGCATTACAATAATTAGTAGGTACAACATTATATAGAATATCCAATGGCATACGGCATAAATGTCTAAGATAAAAATTTCCAATGACATACGGCATAAATGTCATTGCAATAATTTGTAAGCACATCATTCGATAGAATATCCAATAGCATACGACATAATAACATTATAACATTATAACAATAATTTGTAGGTACAACGTTAAGTATGTCTCGTGCTCAATTCTCTCGGTTTTTAACATACTCTTCAGGAGAAAGGTGTCTAATTTATTGCCTGTATCGATATGTTTACAAATACTAGAATGAATAGTTATCCGATCAATTAACCACTAACCATATCATATCCCATTTAACTAAAAATGATATCTTCCGGATTGTGACTCGGGAGTAGTTGGGGACCGATGTAAAGAGAAGCTTCGTTAGATGTAATTTATTTAATTAATTGAACTGTCAAATAGACTCTGGTTCAATCCTTTATTTCTGAGAATATCAGGGCAATATCAAAAAATATTGTCAGTTTCAATTGAATGTTAATACTCTCACATTTTCACTTTTAAAGGCAATTTTATAATTTTTAGAAACACAAGTTATTTTTCAAGCTATTCCATAATTGCAGCAGATAATGTCAAATGTTGTTCATAGTGCAAGTTAGATATTATTGTGGAATAGAGATATTGGCATTCGACATTCAAAAATAAAGAAACCCATTACGATGAACTGGAATACATTTCCACAATTATCCGTTATCTAGTCGCTGATTGTTCCCTAAATATGCGCTGAGAGATGTGACCTTATTCAGGTGCTATACTGTATGTTGTGTGTGCGAGGAAGAAACATGGGCTGTGCAAAAACAGAAAACATTTATAAAATTGCTATGGAGATAAGGTGTACGATATGATGGTTAACTACAACATGGGATGGGCAAATAAAGAAAACATGTATAAGACTGCTATAGAGATTAGCTGTACGATATGTTAGTTAACTACAACATGGGATGGGCAAATACGCATTTGAAAAACATTTGTAAGACAGTCAGAGATATTATATCTAGTATATCATACGCAGTGATCTCCAAAGAATATTTTCTCAAGTGGGTGAAAAATTCCCCTTTTCACAATTCAGACCTCAAAATTGGTGAAAATATGCCAATTTTTCATGATTTTTCTCATTTTCAAGTGGGTGCAAATGGATTTTCAAGTGGGTGCAAGCATGTTTTCAATATCTCAGTGAGTGCTGCGCCCACTTGTTTAAATGCTGGGGAGATCACTGATACGGAATGATAAGTAAATTACAATATTGAATGGACAAATACAGAAAACACCTAAGACTGTTAGTAGAGATTCAATATACGATGTTAAGGTAATAACAACATGGGCTGGGAAAAATACAGAAAAACATTCAGAAAACTGTTAATATTTACATATGCATGTGAAAAACATTACTAAGACTGTGAGTAGAGATGCAATATACAATATGCTAAATGCGAAAATTTGTATTTGTCAGCTGATTAGTGCAGATAAGTTTAAAATGCAAACCTGGTTAGCACTTAGGACTCGTGTCCGTTAGGCCTGGGTTCAAATTTAGTCGCTTGAACACAATTTTGTTTTTTATTTTTGCTTTATTTCATATTCAACCACAATTCAATTATTACCACCTTGCTGGGCCAGTTCTAGGGGTTTTAGTGCTAGTTTAGAAGGCATTCATTTTACTATATCGACCTGAGCAATATGTGACGTCATAGTGGTGGTCAATATAGCCGGTCGAGAATGTATTTAACGACCGGCAATTTTCCCCGGGAAATTAGATATCGTTCAGTGCGTCATTAACGGTGGTAATAATACTAATAACGTCATTTCTGCGGGCAATATTAAACAAATACTGGATGATCAGGAGCTGGATATGGCAGAATACCTATTCGAGAAAAAATATTGGGCGAGGCGGTAGCCGAGCCCAATATTTTTTCGAGGATAGGTATTCTGGCCATATCCAGCTCCTGATCATCCAGTATTTGTTTTATTATGCACCTCCCAATCAAAGTTAAGTGGAGTACTTACTGGAGTACAGGCTTAAACTGTCGTTTAGTTGACATTATTTTGACATTTATTTATTTTTTCTTTCAAAACTCAGACGACTTCCGGCCAGTTTATTCGCTACGCTGGACGAAAATATTTGCCCCGGGAATTTAATTTTTATTTATTCGAGACGTTCTTGCAGAATTTTATGTAACTTTTGAATGATAAGGGTAATTGTGATTGATTAAGTACATTTTTTCTTCTATTTTCCGCCAGTTTCAGATGTAAGCTTTAAGCAGTACTCCAGTTATTAAGAAATAAAACTCTGAAGTGGGAATGTTGCAAAAACATTGAAAAAAATATCCGACCCTTTTTCTCGAAAGGGTCAGATATTAAACAAATATCCGGCAGTTTTCAGAAAAGAGCAGAGTATTGCCAAATTACAAGCAACTTAGAACCAATCAGATTTGAGTATTTTAATGAGGTGCATAATAAAGTGAAATATTGGACCTTGGGCCTTCGGTCCAATATTTCACTATATTGCCCTTCGAAATGACGTTATTGTACCATTACTTTAGTATCACTTTTTTCTCATATCAAGGGCGGACGTAGTACAAAGAAAATGCCTCGTTCGCAAATCAAATGTAGTGATAAGGCAATAGTAGGCCCTGATTGTCATTTCGTTTCGTTTAGTATACATATTGTACTAAGCCCCGGGTATCAAATTAGCCCTGCCTATTTATATTGTACGAAATGAAATAAAAGTTGTCATTTACCCATTAAAATGTATTCTTATATATTTCCAATTAATTGGGGTTTACCAATATAACAAGCAAGATTATCTGTATCAAATATAGGCTCCTGGGCCATCCTAGAACATAGCTAAAGTCAATCGTGTAATGAGCAACGTGTAAACGCTCATATACACTTTAAAACCTGTAACTTTCACGTTTACCTGTAGAAAGTAGACTAATCTGATGTCATTTTCCTGCGCGCGCATAGAAGTTCACGTTCATGCTTTGTTGAATACGCGTCTCTAAATGCACCACTAGAGAGGTTAAGCTACACGTATAAATGCAAACCGTGAACCTGAACGCGTAAGTCCACGCTCAAGTACACGTTTAAGAAAATTTTCGTCTGAAACCATGTCAGTGGACGTGGAGTTATATTTATGTGGTGAGTGTGTCTAAAGGTCATGTCTCTTTGGTGTAATGGATAGCACTTCGGCAATCTAGCACTTCACGTATGTCCGTTAGGCCTGGGTTCGAATCTAGTCGCAATAAAACATTTTGTTTTTTATTTTTGCATTGGTTTCTATTGATTTTCACAAAAATACCTAAAATACACTATGACCTGAATCGATTGCAAATTAATTAATTTCACAATATGACACAAATGGTACACATCAGATGCAAATATAAAGTTTGCAATCGATTCAGGTCAAACTTCAAATTAAAGATAATTAGATTTTTTCATCATTTTATTCCTACAAAATGGCTATAGAAAAATGCTTCAAAAGCAACTTTTACACTTATGAAATCCCATACAACTTTGTAAATACAAAGATTATTCTGTTATGTTTCATTAATTAATAACATATTTGGATAAGATGTAGGGATGTGTAGGATGCAAATGGATTTTGACAGACACAAAAAGACTTCATGGTTTGGCATCTCTACCCCTGTAGACTAAAATGATTGAATATTCGCCCTAATAAGTGGCCCATTCATCAATACAGTGCTGAATATAGGTCAACAAGATACTAATGTACATATAAATGTAATAATGAAAGCAGTACATTTATTTTGAAAAATCAGATGAATTTATTTTTGTTCGTGGGGAGATCATAATGGAGGGTGCACTAGATCCTTTCTTGCCCTGGTTGTCATTTCGTTTAGTATACATATTGTACTAAGCCCAGGGCATCAAATTGGTCTTGCCAATTTATATTGCACGGAATGAACAAGCGATCACATTTGAAGTTGTCATTTACCCATTAAAATGTATTCTTATTTCCAATTAAGGATTGGGGTTTACCAATATAACAACTTCAAGCAAGATTGTCTGTATCAAATATGGGCGCCA